CCCCCCCCATCATCTTTCTTGTAGTATTTTTGCTGTCTTTTCTAATCTTGCCTTTGTACTCTTATCGTGTTTTTCCTCTTTTGTCGTCTTTGTTGACTTTTTGTTCATTGAAGTGATCTTTGGAGTCTTTTGAAGTCTTTTCTAGTCTGATGTCATGTTTTTGTTCCTCTAAAAGCAGTGGTGTGAAATCCATTTTTGTCGCAGGCCACATTTATTGACCGTTTCCCTTGGAGGGCCGTTATGACTGAAACCATAAAAAGAAGTCAAGAATAACTGTTGATTCAACTCTTGTTTAAGTTACTACCATGAGGGGTTTGGGAACAAGAAAATGCAAGATGGAAATACTCTTGAGAAAAACACAATTCCAACATGTTATAGTAGATTTTCTCTGACTACGGATCGTAAGCAATACCTGCCAGCGCATGTGTTCCTGCGGACCAGCTCCAAAACTTTGGCCGCATTATTTTTGGAGCCGTCAGTGATGATGAAGATCTGGCGAGGGTACGTGCGCTGCATCGGTTGCTGGTACACCCAAGACAGTGCCCCCAGTAGGTTGATGCCTCGCATGTTCGCTCTCATCCTCTGGACGTACTCAGAGGCCTGCATCAGGGTAACCTGGAGCACAAATCCAATCAGAGCTCTATAAGCAAGAAAAAAACCCCCACCAATCACGAAGCTTAGGTAAACATCACCTCCAAGATTAATTGACAGTTTGATATCCGATGCCCCAATTACACAGCGAGGTTCAAAAGTAATTGAATCAAACCTTGTCTTATGAAGTGTCGCAAACATTGCACACATTATTGCCAGCCTTAAAATGTGGACAAACAGGCTCGATGAGAGGTTTTGAAAGGACACCTTACTGCCAAGCTGAAAATGCATTGAAGGTCACCATATGCTCAGGTGACCGTGAAAATGCTGTTTGTTCTCATCTCCACCGAACCTGATACTCTGCTGCTCAGGCAACCCAAAGAATTGACCTATTGCCTGATTAAAGAGCAGTCAAACGGGGCCTCCTGCACGATTGGAAAACATCTGTTTTCAGGAAACAGGATATCAATTAACAACCCCCCCCCCGCCCCCTAATTTTTAAACAATTCCAACTAACATCCGTGCAGAGTTTGCTGGCTGAGAACAGAGGTTTCATGGGGGTGCTGAAGCCAACAATGTTGAGCAGGGTGCCCGAAGGGAGACTCTTCAATGCGACCACCAGGGCTTCCTGGAAAAGTAAATCAATCAATCAAAAAATAAAAAAATCAATGTGTATAATTATGGTAATAATATATATATATATCATATCCAAACCCCAATTCCAGGGAAGTTGAACATAAATAAAAACAGAATCTGTTCTCAGTTCCCAAAGATTGATTGAATGTTGTTAAAAGAAAATGTGATGTGGCACGGTGGTAAGCATGACCCTGTTCCAGCTATTTGGAAACGTGTTGCAGCCACAAAATTCCAAGTTCGTGATAGTTAAAAACAAAAACTTTTTCAGTTTACCAGTGTGTTTCAACAGTGTGTATTAGAGTTAATTAAAAATGATTATAGATTTTGTACACCTGACTAACTGTGGCCAGTGCTCACTTTGACACGACGGATGTTGGTGCCACTTATGCCGCCATTCCAGTCAACAAGGAACAATATTTCTCTGGTGGCTTTGTTCAGCTCCAGAGGTTCAGCCAAGAAATCAGGACAAAAATTGAGCATCAACACCGGGTTGTTCAGGATGTCCTTGTGGTAGCGCTTCCGCATAAACTCCACCTGCGCACGCATTCATTCAGAAGCAGTTTGCATGAAAAAAATGGAGAAAAGGTGCTTGTGGGATCTGCTAACCTTCCTCTCAGGTTCAGGATCTTTGCGGGTGCAGCGAATGAAGTCACGTCGAGAAAGGATGTGCTGTTCATACTGGCTGAAGGAGAGCCTTCCGTTCTCTATTATGACCAGTGGGCTGTGCGGTTCTGTGAAAAAATCACTTTTAACGCTCACAAAAGACAGCAATAGGTGGAGGATGTTTTTCCGTACTCACCGCTGAGGTGCAGGATGATTTCTATGTGTCTGTCATAAGGATGTTCCTGGGCTAAGGTGATGTAGGTGGCGGAGGCACTTTGGGCGCTGGGGTCGGCATCCGCTCTCAGGGCATGGGTGGGGCTCTCCAGTCCTGAGTTAAATTTAGCATTAAGGAAAAAAAACAAAACAAAGAAACTGTGCTGCAAAAAAAGATTTTGAAAAACTAGAAAAAATGTCATGAAATGAGGGATTTATTACAGTGGTGCTTGTAACTTAACTTAAATCTCAGGTCATATTTTCCTATTGGTATGAATGGAAATGCCAGTAATCCGTTCCAATCGTCAAAAAAATTGCAGTAATGAATATTTTAATAAGGATAAATAGCTCTCGACCTCATTGCACATACTTTAAAAATACATACAGCTTTTACCTGGATGCAGTATAAACGTAACAGATCAACGGTTCATTTTGAATCCCACTCAAGTTGTCAGAATCGCACATCTGACCTTGCAAGTCAAAGCAAAAGAATCGGTCGAGAGATGACTCGTATCTTAAAAAAAAAAACCCTCAAACGTCGAGCCAAAGTACTTAATATAAGCAAAATATTCGAACATACCGGCCAGCAGACAAGCCCCTCGAACAAGCAGTTGGAAGTTGAGTTCATAAGGAGCCAAACTGGCAGCTGGACTGTTGAAGAAGGCATGTGCACAGTACTGCTGCTCCGAGTCAAGAACGCGCTCCTGTTTTCCTGAGGTGGCACTAAAGCAGCTGGTTGCTCTGCAGAGGGAGATTGCACGATTTGAGATCCAATTGGCAGAGCCGGCTCACCCATTAAACAATTGGGGCAAAGGCTAAGGGCACCGCGGCCTCCAGGGTGAGCAACAATTTTATTTTATTTTTTTAACCTTCAATGTCATTATTTTAATGCCAGTTATGACTCTTTATTTCCTAAAATTACAAAGCGAACATTGATTCATATGTCAAGCGATGCCGATTTTAATATGACAATAAACGATGAAACAAAGTGCCCGACCCGCGCGTCATCACCCAAACCTCCTTTCCCCATACAACCTCCCCCCTCCTCCACCCCAATCAATGTATTTTTGGTTACCCGGTCTCTTCTGATTTGCCCCCATTTTCACTCTTGCTTGCAGTCACGTGTGTGACGATGGGGGTCAGTAAAGTCGGATAGACGATGTGGATTGCTCCATTTTCCAATGTAGGCAGTTCAAATGAGGTTTTCATGATAATGGACACGATATCCATTGGTCCTATGACCCCTGTGCCTATGATGAAAGTATTTCTTTCCAAGTCTTCATCCAGGATCAGATGTCCTGAGAGAGAGAAACAAGAATTCATACAATTGAAAAACATCAATCGGTGCAGCAGGCTGCAACACCGCAGCGCTGACTTACTCGAGATTTTACAGTTCATTTGATTACATTGTTCTTAGCCATCGCACGCTCACCGTTGGTGCATTGCATGTCCAAGCTGGAGCTCCCGCAGCAGTTCCATTCCCGGCCTTCAGCAGTACCTGGGCAGCAGTCCAGGCAGCAGTCCTTCAGCTTGCCTCGATTCTGGATCTGGACTCCCATCAGACGCCCCGCAATGGCCGCCTCAAAGCCAACCACAACCTCCGTTTCGCCGAGAGGGTACACAAACACACCTGCGGAGAAGACAAGTCATACTTTGACATTTCAAGTGTTCTAAAGGCGATGCCGATCAGAGACTCTCGCGGCCCTCTCAACTGAAACCGAGATTTGTCTCGTTTTTTTTTTGCATGCGTGTGCCCCGTCGCTCACTCACCCTCAACGGGCTCTTTGTCTGCATTGGCATAGGTGAGGTGCGCCGTGATGGCCAAGGAGCAGCCGACGGCGCAGGATTTGATACAAGACGACTTCAGCAGCAGCGGATCCCACGTGGAGCGGTTCCTCAGCCCCACCATCGTCTCAGGTCAGGGTACCGACAACTGAAAGCAGACATGCGCGCATTTTAAGTGCCTCGATTTCCGTGCATTATCAATGAACGGAACTTTAGAAAAAAAAATTTGAACAAACAGCAGATTTTTTTGCTGCAATACTTTTGACATGGAATGCCAATATGCATCTGAAAGACGTCTTCGTATGTACATCGCTGCTAGAAATGTAACCCGTTCTCCTCAGGTGCTTAGCAACCAGTGGTTTTGTGTTTGAGGTTCTGTCAATCATTAACACCGCAGGTCAACGCTAACTAACACGAATCTATGCATCGTGTCTCACGGTGTGTGTAACCAGCGTGCACATCCACAGCCGCCGAAGCATGTCGACATATGACCTAAAAGTGCACGCGATCATTCCGACTGAATTTTAGTACAGCACACCGGTTGAGTGTGTTACGACGACACACATCCGCACGAATGTGTGTGTGCGCGCATTAGAGTGTGAGTGTGTGTTTGCTGTGGTCCAAGTAATGGCCTTTTCACATCAGCCTTTCAAACAAGATCAACAGCCTCCATCTGGCTACTGTTCTCTCACCTCATAACAAGCAAATAAATGCCCGCTTTGTTAAAGTAAGGCCAACGGGCGCAGATATACTCTCGGGAAGCTCATCGAATCGCTGTCTGCGGCCCACTAAAGCAAATGAAGTGTGTTTACTTCTTGTTTCTAATTGCGAAATGGTTTTTTTTTTCCCATTTGGCAGAAAATCGATACCAAAATGTTTCTTCACTTTAAACAGACAGGATTTTTTTTTTTTTTTTTTTTACCAAATCCATTAATGAGAAACAAGTTGAATTCATTCCGTAACTCAAAACACTCACATATCTCAAATCATCTTCCCCTATATTGAAATGAATGGTCAGGTCAGTGCATGGTCAAATCTGTATTGTGCAAGCTTTCATAGGTCAAACTTAAAAATTCAAAAAGCAGATGAGCTCGAAAAAGACTTTTTTTGTTTTTTAAATCAGCGTCAAAAATGCATTCAGGGACACAACACCATCTCTGATTAGAAATTTGCTGTTGACTTGTGAAATGAATGTAAAGAATTAAACAGTCTGTGTGTCGTGACTGTCTCATTTCGACACGTTCTGGTGTGCGCAATTTGGGCCACCAGGTAACGCAGACGAGTTTCAACGAATGTAAGCGATTCAGTCATCTGACGTAATGAGGCATGGTTTGCAGAGGATAAAGAATATATGCATGTCAGCATTGTTATGTTGTGAGTCTACATGTGTCGATGCACTTTTTGTTCCAATATCCGTTGCGTAAAGGGTTGCAGCACCACAATTATGTAATGATATGATGAGACACATTTGCATATTTATATGTTTTTCATAGTTCTAAAGGCCTCTGTGTATAAACCTATCCAATGATGACACCTCACCCCACTCTTATTTCTCCCTGCAAGAAAATATAAAGTAGCACATGCACACAAAAATACTAAAAACAGGAGGGAAAGTTCAAATCCATTCCACGGCTACAATAAATTCATGCACACAACAAATAAAGTATGTCGGTAAAATAAGTAATGCAGGGATACTCACTGTACTGTTCAATGTTGACTGTAACAATATTCTGCTGTGTCCTACCACTGCATCCCGAAACACAGCTTTCTTATTTATACAAGTGTAACTTTACCAAAACAGTACAAAATAGATCCATTTAAAACATAAAAACAGATGACACGCATACATGAAAGTTTGCGACCTTTCTCCCAATAGGTAAGCAACATTCATGATAAACGACCAGTACGCAGCATGACATTTTCCTCCGATTACCTGCTCAGATCAACACTGCAAAGATGATCAGCAGCTGCTCGATGACGAGGCCGACACTTGGCCAGAGGCAAACGCACGACAGCGCAAAGTGAGGCACAGCCTCCTTCTCATCCAGACAATTGGCTGTGATGGTCGCAGCACCATAATTCACAGCTAATGGCCTGGCTGGAGAGAGAGTGAGCGAGAGAGAGAGACATAGAGAGAGACATAGAGAGAGAGAGAGAGGGGCGGAGTAAGAGTCAGTCGGAGAGATGCTGCAGGCGATTGGAGGTGAGCAAAGAAGCCCCATAACGAAACGGTAAAGTACAGTATGACCGGTTTGGACTGTATTTTCATCTCTCAGCATTGGGTCAAGATTTGAAAACATATTTTCAAAAATGTCAACTCTTTCTATTTTTGTGAGGTTTACCTGTTGGGGGTAATTCAACTCAATTTTATTTGTAGACCACTATGAAAACAGCCATACAGGTGCATACAAAGTGCTGTACATAAAACAAAAATCAGACAGCTTGCAAGGACAGTTGCAACAATAAAGTAACATAAAATCAATCATTCAATAAAGCACTTCAAGCAGGCTTTAACAATTAATCAATCATTTTTAAGGGCCATGGGTGCCTATGCCAATCACTGGGTTAAAACCACTTGGATTAGGGTTCATGTGACCTCAAAAATTGGTTTACAGTATTCGTTTAACTCAGCCTCTTGAGTCAAATGAATAGCCCAACCATCGGAATGTCCAAATGTAAAAAAAAAAAATAACAATTCATTTTAAAATAATTGATTGGGATTCCGTATTTTGTTTATTTCTGCAGGTGTTCTGGTGGATGAGAGGAAATCAAAAGCACCCCATTTTAAAAGTCTGCGACCCCCAAAGTGGTCGGATAGACTCATCTATTTAAAATCCTTCGTTTCTTATCAATAAAACCAGTCTAAAAAAAGACTGGAAAATCCTTCTATATGCTCAGTATAGCGTTGCTAAAAAACGTGTGAAGAGTAGCGCGCATTCCAACATGGCGACACTAGATGTCAGCCTTCTCTTCTCGATCGAAGCTGCATTCTTCCCCTTTTTTTCTCCTCACTTCCAGCCTTGTCCCAAAATATGCTGCACGTAAGTTCTCAAGTAGTGTGACTATGAGTGAAGCAAATTCAGTGAATAGCATTAATAGATGTCACCAACAAATATTAAACAAGACCAAACGAGCTGGATTAGATTTACCGGTAGTCAAACAAAATCGGAATTGGGCGATAACGTGAACATTTTAACATTAAACTGATGTTTAGTTCGCATTTTAAGACAGTTGAGGTCATAATAGATCGTATTAACAACAGAGCTAACACTGACCCAGTAGAGGCCTGTGCAGACGAGCTGCTTGACTATTGTCGGGGGGCTTCAAGTGTCTGGCCGCGCTTCCATGTTGGGAACCACAACCACGTCTTCTTCTCCCTTTGCTTAGCCCACTGACCTAGATTTCAATTGTTTTCCGCCCGAGACAATGGGGCAAAATGGTTTCATAACCGAAGACAATAACGGGGTGTTATTCAACACGATTGTTGTCAAGGTCCTCAATGTGGTGCATTGTGTTGTTTCTTTTCTTTGTGGCGAAAACGCTCCTTGGTCAAGCATCGGTGGCTCGACGCGATGATCCTGCGTGTATCGCCGCAGCCGGCCTAATGTTTGATTTCACCACCAAACATGTTTATTCTTTGCGATGGATCGTTCTGATACCCTTTTTTGTGTTATTTGTCACCTTTAATGCGGGCAAAAAGAAATTGGTGAGGCTTTTAAGTGAATTATTATTAAAATGTTTGAAATTGAGAACTCAAGACAAGAGGTTCTCAAACTGAGGTCCCTGGAAACCAGGGGGTCCACAACCCATAGCTTGGCGGGCTAAAAAAATCATTTGTCATTAAAACAAACGAGATCATTTATTTTAAACTTACAGTAAAACAAGTAAACTAACTCAATGTTTCCTCCCTACGATTACATTGTGCCAATTCAAAGTTCTGATATGATTCTGACGGACGGTCGCATTATTCTGGCATCCCAAATGAGTTTTTTTTTTCTTTCGAACAAAAGATGTAATATTACACAAATAATTTGCATAAAGAGTGCACATTTTGGACGGGAAAAGTTGGACCCCAAGGTCAAAAAGGCTTAAAGGTTAATAAACTAGAAAGACCAATAGTATTCGTGAATCCATTTAGGGCGTTTTCCTTGATGCGTTTGTATTAATCTATCAGACTTTAAAGCAAAGATGTGATTGCTTTAAATACACTTCAACAAGGGGTTCCATAAAAAAAGCTTCAAGCCTCTTTTTTTTTTTTGACTTTTTTTTTGACTACCTGCCTCTTTGCTGCCTGTAGTGAAGTGAGCTGAGTTGCGTTCAGTGCATCGAGCACTCATCGCTCCAATTTTTGTTGCTAAGTCAAAGCAAAAAAAAAAAAATCGGGTGAACGACGGCTCATATCTCAAAAAAATTGTAAGTTGTGTCAGTTGGAAGTTGTATCTCAAGGCAGCAGCGTAATACTGTACAAATACAGAACTGCTAGAAAACAATGGCTGGGGCCGCTCGCCACTTGATGTTTAGCAAGAAAGAGCGAGCTGAAGAATCACAACACATCAAAGCAAACGTGCCGAGGGGAGGGAGGAAAAGAAAGAGTGCCGCCTGTTTGTCCCACGGCGTTCCCACTTCGCCCCGCCTGAGCCCGCTTTCACATCTCAGGGGCCATTGTGCTACACGGGTGCACGGAGGGGGCTGGGCCAGCTAACTCACAACCAAACAGGCAACAAACCTCGGCTGAAGTAGTCATGTCTATTTGTTTTTGTTTTTTTGTTGTTTTTTTTTTTTTTTAACAAAACCTCCAAAACCATAGCAAGTTAGCAAGTTTTCAAATATTTGGCAGAGTAAAATTTCGCTAACCGATTAATCGATTGTTCCCTAATACTTACAACAATAACGATATGAATCGCAGGAAGGACATTTGACCGTTTTACAATGCATATTTGTTGAGCTCAATAACGGAGAAAAAGATGAGCAAAAAAAAATAATAATAATTTTTTTTTCTTTTTACAGATTTTTGGTGTAGGCGGGGAATTTTTAAATTTCATTGTCTTAGTCTTATATTCTTATGTAGCAAAAAAATAAATGTATTTTCTTTTGAATTTTTAAATGTGTAACCTGGCAACCTGGTGGTCGACTGATTAGTGTGCCGGCCTCACAGTGCAGAGGTGCAGGGTTCAAAGTCAAAGCAAAAAAACAAAACAAAAAAAAAAAACCCCAAAACCCCAAAAGACCGCATCTTTAAAAACTCCAAATGAAGTCAAGGCACCACTGCAGCTCCAGAATGCCGCTGTTGGTTGCATGCGACAATGCGACAAGAGCAAACCCGAAAAGAACGCTTCTGACTTAATGTTCTTGAGCATTCTCATCCTGTATCTTTATGTAGCAAAAGCGGAGTTCAGCAGAGAAAGACAAAAGAGATGTGAACTGACAATATTTTAATGGGCGGGATAAAAGAGTGTAAGTGATCAATGGAGGCGGCGGCCAAGTGATGCCCGGGGGACGCCTTTGATGCGGGCGTCCTCAGAGGGACACCGGGGTACAATGCCCTCTTTGAGAGGCACGGAGAATGGCAGACACTTCCCTCTCTGGCTGTCTCACCCCCCGGTCTCCCTCCCTCCCTCTCTCCCCTCTGATAACTGAGCTCACGCCGCATCCCGTCACTTCGTGCTACATTCCTCCCCTCCGTTTTCACATCAGCCCATATCCTTATTGCTCTAACTTTCTCCCTCTTCCTCTCCCATTAATTAGTTCAAACAACACCCGCTTGCCTGCCGCCCGGCCCTTCGTTCCCCTTGCGTCTCCTTTCACAGGAGCAAACCTCTTTGTGATGTCCAGCCTTGGCAAGTTGCGCCCGATTTGCTGTCCCAGTCTTAATGAATTCATCTGTTTGTGTATTGGCCCTGCATGGGAGCATCTCTCCCTCCCCTCCCTTGCCTCCTTTCCTCTCCTCCCCCCATTCTGGTGTTCTCCTGGACACTCTATATATACCGGGCAGCAATCAGGAGGCACTTATTATTCCTCTACCTACATTTCCAGACAGATGCGCTGCGTCACAGACGATCAGAAGGAGGGAGAAAGCCTTTTTGCAGAGACACCAACCCGGACACGGTCAGGCCTCGGCAGGCCAGCGTCATCTCGGCATTCTCTCCGGTATCGCCAAGTGTCTCCCCGGCTGTCGCCACTGGACGCGGCGCGTGTTCTGACAGCATGCTCGTACTGGTATCGCTGCTCCTCACAGGCTTGGGCTGTTTACTGGCAGCTCCCGCAGGCAGAGAAGTCTACAGGATGCCTCAGAGTGCACTCAAAGGTAAACGCTCGGCTCTGTCCGCTGCAAAATTTTAAGAGTCAGGCTGAAAAGAAAAAAAACACTATACCGAACATTGCTGATACTGTTGATCTTGACGTGTGTCTGGTAATCTTAGTTCGGTACAGTACACAGAAAGCCTTTCTGGATTAGGATGAGTGAAATGTTAAACCTGAAACCGTTGTTTCCTCCAAAGTGCATATTTAACAATAGGAAAATCTCACAAAAAGTAACAAAAACGAAATAATGATGACCGACTCACAAATGTACTTCATGTGAAATGTGCAGAGTGAAATGTTAAACCTGAAACCGTTGTTTCCTCCAAAGTACATATTTAACAATAGGAAAATCTCACAAAAAGTAACACCGACCGACTCACAAATGTACTTCATGTGAAATGTGCGCCTGCTTAGCTGAACAAAAAAGTCATTGCTCTGTTGCATGAATGACAACAGGTGGATGCACAGGCTAAATGTGCACGCACCATCGAGTGGAAGAGCATTTCGCTGTCACTATAAGTCTCCGGCATAGATAGATGAACAAAATTCATGCATTGGTACCCAAGTCGGAACAATAACGTGAAAGTGATTTGCAACAAAATACATGCAGCACTTCACCCTTCCGTACAAACCCCGATCAAAGCAATGCCATCCGATTTGCAAAATGATTAGCAAAGAGCTTCAAACTCAAAGCGTGAGGTCCAAGCCTCCCTGCGGCTGCCTGTCTGTGCCCCCCCTGGGTCCGTCCATCCATGCCTGCCAGGCTCTGCCCGCTCAGCGCCGGCCCTCTAATTAAGTACTTCAATCAGCATTTCTGTTGTTAGTGTCCTTCCTGTGATGTTGTCGGGTGCAGAGGGGGCGGGGGGAGCAGCGGCAGGGTCGGCGGCCCGATTGAAGTGTGTCTGTAGAAAGCCTCGCCGGCGCATCGAGCGTGAGCTCGCCTCCCCGACACGCTGCCAACGGGCTCAAAGAGCAGCATGAGAAGAAAAATAGGGGGCTGTAGTTTAGACTCAAACAAATTCTCCTGTTAGAATGCGGGGGAAATCCCGGCTCTGGCCTTCCTGTGTGGAGTTTGCATGTTCTCCCCGGGCATGCGTGGGTTTTCTCCGGGTACTCTGGTTTCCTCCCACATTCCAAAAAACATGCATGGCAGGCTGATTGTACATTCGAAATTGTCCCCATGTGTGAGTGTGAGCGTGGATGGTTGTTGGTCTCTGTGTGCCCTGCGATTGGCTGGCAACCGGTTCAGGGTGTCCCCCGCCTACTGCCCGAAGACAGCTGGGATAGGCTCCAGCACCCCCCCCCCCACCGCGATCCTTGCGAGGATGAAGCAGATGGGAAAATGGATGGAGGGATAGTGCAGGGAAGCCATGAAGACTTTTGACCAAATCTGCAGTATTGGTCTTCCTCATGTCCCATTTTGGTCTTTCTGTCCACCGCAGCTCTATCCGATCGTGGCACGGTGGTTCTCGAGGCAGCCATGACCAGCGCCCTGTCCGCTCTGGACCGAGCGTCATCCGAGAGGAGTCGGGCGGAGGCGGGCTGCGGGGGCTGCGCTCCCTGCTTGTTTCAGGACTGCGGGCAGCCCTCTGGATCCTGCTGTAAGCTCCGCATTCATCCCACCTCTGGTGAGCCAATTCACGCTGACTCCCCAATCTCCGCCCGAACAGCTTCACCCGCCAACGCCTTGACAGAACCCAGCTGCGACGTCATCAGCAAGGCCCAGAAGCTTCAAGATGAAGGCGAGCGGAGTTGGGCCCTGAGCCAGGCCTGCGCTTTCTACCAACACCGCTGTCAAGCCGGCAACTCGGACAAAGAGAGCTGCATCAGAATCATGGGCGAGAGCTGCAGCGCCCGCGTCCTTCAGTGCAGCTTGCTGAACACGATGCAGAACCTGGAACCCGCCACTCAGACGCATGTACAGGGTGAGGGGGACACATACCGCTTCAAATAATTCGTCTCCATTTACCGTCGGAGTCACGAATCTCGTTTTGCGCAACGACGGCAAGTTGAATTCGCCACTCTTCCTGATTGTCCGTGGCTTCATCCGCAGCCGTGTGCGGTCAGAGGTCATCCTCGGCCCGCAACGTCACCCAGCCTCGTTCCAGGATCGTGGGGGGCTCCCCTGCCCCGCCAGGCAGCTGGCCCTGGTTAGTCAATCTGCAGCTTGATGGTGGCCTGATGTGTGGAGGGGTCCTGGTGGAAAGCTCCTGGGTGGTCACTGCCGCGCACTGTTTCGCCGGGTAAGAGAACGCGGAGCTCATGTCTTTCATAATCCAAACATATCACACAGCCACGGATTTTTACATCAGAAAAATACCGCCGCACGCTGAAAAACAAAAATGTCGCCAAACGGAACACTGAAATAAATGATCCCGTCTTAGTTTATTGAGTCATTTAAATCAAACGGAACACTGAAATAAATGATCCCGTCTTAGTTCATTGAGCCATATGAACGGCAACAGGTGGATAACCAGGTTTATTGTATGTCGTGGAAGTCGCATTCAAGTGTTTTGCTTGTCACTCACGATACATCGGTGTCACGGCTAGATAACAACGCTACATTATTTGTAACAGGAGCCGCAGTGAAAGCTACTGGACGGCCGTGGTGGGCGAGTTTGACATCACCAAGACTGACCCCGATGAGCAGGTTCTCAAAGTCAACCGCATCATTCCTCATCCTAAGGTAGAGTTGCAAACGTAGCGTGATATGTTGCCAAAAGTATCCGCTCACCTGCCTTGACTCACGTACATTATGAATTTAACTGACATCCCGTTCTGTAGGGTTCAATATGACATTGGGGTGAACCCTTTGCAACTAGAACAGTTTCACGTTAGGTTCAGGACTGTCCTAAACAAACTTTCTTGCATGAACTGATGAAGCCGACTCGGACTTGGATGAGAGGCAAAACATCTCCTAAGACAAGCAGAGCAGTCCAGATTGATTCAGTGTCCTCGGAATTAAATGACCCGGGTGGACGAGAATCCCCACAAGCATCCCTCGGTCAACAGTAAAATGTCCTAAATGTCTTCCAGTTCAACCCAAAGACGTTTAACAACGATATCGCCCTGGTGGAGTTGACGTCTCCCGTGGTTCTGTCTGACCGTGTCACCCCTGTGTGTCTGCCCTCTGGGATGGAGCCCCCTACTGGCAGCCCTTGCCTGGTAGCAGGCTGGGGTTCCCTCTATGAAGGTGAAGTATGCACGAAAGATTACAAATATGCTTTCAGATGCCTTCCGGAAAGCAATAGTGTGTGTTATCTACGCAGATGGGCCGTCTGCTGACACTGTAATGGAGGCCAAAGTGCCCCTGCTGCCTCAGAATACGTGTAAGAATGCGCTGGGCAAAGAGCTGGTGACCAACACCATGCTGTGTGCCGGCTATCTATCAGGGGGGATCGACTCCTGTCAGGTGGGCAGCACAAGTGACGCAAAACACATTTCGATGGAGTGAATTCACGTTCGTGCTTGAGGAGCTGCGATCTCATAAGCACTTCACCAGCTGGCAAATGTTTCATTTGTTATTCTGTCGTCGTGACTGCTGTTTAGGGCGACTCGGGAGGGCCGCTGATCTACCAGGACAGAATTTCCGGTCGCTTCCAGCTGCACGGTATTACGTCCTGGGGAGATGGATGCGGGGAGAAGGGCAAGCCCGGGGTTTATACCCGTGTGTCTGCTTTTTCTGACTGGATCCAAGTGGAAATACAGAGTAAGTGTGGAGCAACGATCGAAAATACAACAACAAATATTTGCAAACTGACACTGACCCAGAATTATAAGTACTCACTCGGCAATTGTGTCGAATCATAAACGACATGTGTTTGTGACTACCTCTCAGAGTCATTTGGCAGCAGGGAACCAACATGTCCGGAGCTTCTAAAAACGACAGAGATGACAGAGGAGGAGCAAAGGTCAGAGTTCATCACTCTGTGTCGCTTCTACACCCTCAGCTGCCCTCCGGGCCAGTCGGGCGGCGCTTGCAGCCGAATGGCCGAGGACAAATGTCTCACCCGCTTCAAGAAATGTCGTACGTAGCGTTCTTTCCAAAAAGATTACAATGTGCGATCGAGGCATCCGTAGCATCTTTGATGATGCAAAAGTTTTGTTTTGTTTTGTTTTTTCTTGATTTGTGATCCTCCCCCGCTCTCATCATTTTGCATGTAGAGCTGCGTTCCTTCCTGCAAACTCTGCTGGACCTGCTGCAGAGCGCTGAAGACTACATCAGGGACAAAGTCGACCTCACCTTCTTCACGCAGACGCTTCCTCAACTGGTGGAACACATCTACAGCACCGCTTTCCCTCACAGCAGAGACAAAAGGGACGTGGGCGGGAATCCCGGCCTCGTGCCCATCGAAGGTACATCCCGTCCAAACGGCTGAGGATGCGCTTCCATGATTCCTCAAAACGGAAAATTTCTCACCACGTGTAACGGTCGCTCCAAAAAAATAAATAAATAAAAAAATTGAATCGCTGCTGTTGCAACAAGTGTTATTCATTGCAGAGCAGCAAGGTGGCGCTGTGACACCAACGGAGCAAGGTTCCCCTTCAGTTCCTCCAGCTTTGTTCAAGGCCTTGGGCCCCACCGTAGAAGATTGGGAGAATTACCTGGTCGCCATCGCTGAGGACATGGAGGCACAGCCCAACGACACTTCCGCGGAAAACTCCTTTGAATCATCCAGACGGGAAGAAAAACGTTTCTTACAGGTAGCCGCATCCCGAAATCTGTTAGCCCTTCATTAAAAATCCACATTAACCCTGAAAGAACAATCTTCAAATTTACAAGGTTGTCACAACCTTGTAGATTTGAGATGAAAAATGATGTCGGGATCATTTATTATTTGTTATATATTTTTTTTCTTCCATATATCACTGAAAAGGTCGATACTCAATACTGCGCCTCAAGAGCCAAGTCGCTGGCACGCATTCACGTCGCATCAGAGTTTGCTGATTTGCAGTTTGCAGTCGCTGCTTTTGCAAGAGCACTTTCATAAATATTAGATATCGGTCACTATATGAAGTAAAAACGTGTCCCTTATCAGCTGTAGTTCGAACGCATTCCAAGAACGAGGCGAGATGTGAAAGGGAAGCAGAAAATGACTAAAATGGCTGATTTGCGCTTTTCAAATTCCGATACAGGCAGGCCGACACATTTTTGGTACGTTTGCCGGCAATTCATTTTGTGGTCTGCTCCGCTACCTCGGTGTGGCATTCCCAATGTGTGTGCGTGCAAACTTGCAAGGCGACGCGACTCTCTGATGTCAGCAGGCCAGGGGCAGCACAATGTTGCCCCCCCGTAGGGTGATTTTTTTTTTTTTTTTTTTTTGGAATGATGCGTAATCAGAGAGCGTCCCCCGTGCAGCTCATCTTGTACGTGATCCATATTTCTACGTGCTGTTTCCAGGCAGGGGACGACTCGGTTCTTCGGCTTCAGAAAGAATACCAAAATATGATCTCGGCGTTACGCTCCAAACTGGACTCCAAAGCTGCTCCGCCCATCCTCCACATGGATCCGTCCGATCTCCACCAACGTTCTTCCGACCCTCTTTTTCTTCCAACATCTTCCCCAAGGCTGCAAATCAACCCTGGTCCTTCCTCTCCCCCCAAATCGCAGAAGCCTTGGTCACTTCTCTCGGCCCTAATGACCGAAATTGAGAAATTAAAGATCGCCAGTGAAACTTTGACCAGCGACGAGACCCAAAACGAAGCGTTTGTCACATCAACCGAGGGCACGTGGGACAAAGTGGTGGATCTCGGAGAGTTACCGGTTGTGGTATCAACTGCAGTTCTCCCAATTCATATGGCGAAGACGACATCTCAGCCTCACGCTCTGCACGCTAGCGATCCTTCCAGTCTCCACAGACGACAAAGGAGCCTTCTCCGCAAGAGACAGACACCCGGGCCCGGTGGGAAAGGTAAGCCTGTTCTGACGGCTCGTCGTGTTACGGTGGATTGTCGAAGCCCTAAAATGGTTTTGGCTCGTCCTTGTAGTTTGTCCCGGTGTTCGAGAGACTTCACAGCAAGTCAGTCAAGTCAGAGACTCTTACCATTGGGTGCTGAGTATCCCAAACAAGAACCTCCATATGAGCTTCCAAGAGGTACAGTAACTCCTTCATCACAACGACGAGATTCAGAAACGTCGATGTCGTCGGACACGTTGATTGGATGATGATCTCCGTGTTTTGTTGGGGGTTCTCTTTTGTTTCAGGTCTTAGTTGATCTGAGCTCCAAGAACGATCGAGGACTTTATCAGGCGAGGGTCAGAGCCGTCGTAGGAGGGCGGCCTCTGACTTTCTACGGTCTCGTAGGCCTGGAAAATGAATCCTTCTACCGCAGTGTGCCGAGGATCATCTCCTTAGCGCTGGAGGCCCTGAAGACTTAACGTCAACGGAACCACAGGAAGAATGATCAAAAAAACCGAAGCGCCAGACGACCTCGGTCACATCGACGTGGGGATTCAAACGCAAACAGTTGCTTCCTACCGTGGAGCGGATCCTCGAAGTAGGATTCCGTGACCCGTTTTGAGAGCCAGATTGCGGCTCTACCGAAAAACTATGAATGTATCCATCCAGCCATCAGCAGGCCCTCGCAACAAGCTTGTCTAACTTATGAATCCATCCAAGCGATAAGTTATTCGATTCTCATCAGCACAAAGTCTTTTACAAAGGTTGAGCCTCTTGTGAAGGACACGGACTGCCTATCATGTTTATATCTTATTTATTTTTCGAGAAAAAAAATCTTTTGTATTTTTGTAACAGCAAAATATATATGAATGACGTGCGTATAAAACTTTTATTAACACCGTGGCACTTGGGGGTTTGTCTTTCCAGAGTGAATGTTTGATGGGAGATATTTCAAATTAGTTGCCAGGGCTGCTGCTACTCTGGCAGTATTTTACACCAGAGGGGCGGCAACAGGGGTGGGGGGGGGGGGGCTTGCACCCTGCACATGAGCACTGATTGGCCGGTACTGTGACCGGACATTGAACTCAACCCGCCAACCATGACATCAACAGAGCACATGCTGTATACATTTATAACTGTCTTCCTTCCTCATACCAGGATGAGGAATCGTAAAAGGATGCAAAATCCTTGTCCATCATACACTGGCAAAAAATGATAGACACACACACACACACACACACACACACACACACACACAACAAACGCTCCCGACATTTGGGAAACATTCCCGCCTCAGGTTTGGGGATGTGCTGAACAAATATGTTTGTGACGCGCAGGCTGACAGCTGACAGCGAGTCCCAAATGTGACGGCAACGTCGCCCAATCTACACTGCGCCAGATCAGCCTTCATTGACATGTGCCTGCAAATGAGCCACACTTATCACCTCTTCAGTCAACTGGAGCCTTTTGTTCTTTTGTTTCACACTTACTATCCTTCTTCTCCTGCCCTTTTCTTTCTTTCTTTCTTTTTATTTTTTTTGTTTGTTTACAAAAGGCTCTGTGCTGGCCTCTGTGCTAATTTTGTCCCTTGCTTATTTTATTCGCTTAAGATAACTGCCAGACTGGCAAATGCTGTGTGTGTTGTGTGTGCGTGTACACATACGTTTGTGTGTGTGTGTGTGTGTGTGTGTGTGTGTGTGTGTGGGTGTGGGTGTGGGTGTGTGGGTGTGTGTTTGTTTCCCAGCACATGTTGAACTGTAATTCCAGGGCTGCATTTTCAGCTGTCACATCAATACAAACACACACACACACACACACACACACACACACACACACACACACACACACACACGTGCACATCAACACAAAGGCAGAATGCCAGCAGGTCCATTAAGTATTGTGCATGTGTGTCTGCGATCATTTCGTTTTGTCAAACGGAGCGGCCCGAAAGCGCGCACACACACACACACTGATGGATTCTCTTCTCTCTGTGTCATTCCTCTTGAAGATATTCATGATTTCTGCCTCAGGTAAGGGCTGGTTTGCTCTGACTCTTCTGTCTGTGGGTGTTTCTTTCCAACACAGAGGCTGTTGAACTTTGTTGTGGCCTGACATCCAAAGAGATAACAGTGTCTTAGTACAAGGGTGCCCAATACGCCGATCGCGATCGATCTGCAGGTCGCAGACTTGTCGATCGTGAAGGGTGTTGAGGGAAAAAAAAAAAAAAAAAAAAAAAACCTACCCAAAACATTTTTGTATCTGTGTGCCTGTTATTAATATGATATATTTTGGTGTTCGTGCACATGTTAACCTGAGCATCCTATCAGTCTCACTTTCACAAAAAGTATTTTAAAAATAATGCTTATTTTGTTGTATTGAGTTCACTGCCCTCAAACAGCTCGCATGGCAAGACTGCGCTCGAAATTAATTCATTTTTAATTTTGTATTGGTGACGTGGTGAGCGACGGGTCAATACGTGTGCCTCAAGTTCCCTAGATGTGGTTATGAATGTGAATGTGTTTTTTTTTTTGGGTGTCTGTCCACATGTACAATTGGCTGGCAACCAATTCAGGCTGCACTCCGCCTACTGCTCGAAAACAGCTGAGATAGGGTCCAGCATGCCCACGACCCTCGTGATGATAAGTGGCTCAGATACTGGATGGATGGATATTTTAATATTTCAAAAAATTCCAAGTCACTTGCATCTCAATGCACAACTGTTTGTCTTTGAAACAGGAAAGCAGTACATGCACGTTTCTATTCAATTGCATCTTGAATTATTCATCAAGGGCTTGTCCTGGCTCTTGTCTACGAAAGGATTCATATTTTTTTGTTGATGCTTGCAAATCACAGATTCCTCATTTGGCTTGGAACAACAAAGTGATGTCTTTAATTCAAAAACACAATCCTTTAAAGCAACCAAAATAAAGTACCGTTATCGTACTTGCACATCAATGGCACGATTAAAATGTGTTTGATTTGTATTTCATGCAGTGATAGCGTGTGATGAAACCACTTTGACGCCATTTTTGGAAGACTTGAGAGCATGGCTAACTCCTTAGTCACCCTGCCAAAGACATCACGTATCAGTTTCACGTCTCGCGGTGAATATGCTTCAATTCGCTCAGCCTGTGCCGTGTGTTTGTTTGTGTGCAGCATACGCCGTTAATCTCGAAGGGGAACTTTTCAAGGATTTGATGAAAGGGTACAACAAGAAAGTGAGGCCCGTGGAGAACAGTGGGGATGTCACGCAGGTGACACTCAAGATGACCCTGACCAACCTCATCTCCCTGGTGAGAAAGCTTTTCAACGGGATCCTGATGGGCATAGGAACAAATGATAATGGAATGACGATGAACTTCTGTTTTCAGAGTGAAAAGGACGAGGCCCTGATGACGAGTGTTTGGATTGAAATGGTAATTTGTGGCACGTTGTTAATTTATAAAGATGAGTACAGTGGTGCCCTGAGATACGAGTGACCCGACTTACGTTTTTTTTTTTCCGGATAAGAGTCATCATTCGGATAATTTATTTGTTGTGACTTGTGAACGCAAGATAGAAGCGCTGTACAAAAGGGTGGCGCAACACATGTAGACAAACAATATCACAATACTCTCAGGCATATATGATTTACCCTCTGCGAGCAACAAATAACAACCCTATGGCCAAGGCGAGCACACTTGAAAGAGCAGCACAACGAATTGAATTGATGCATGATCTCCGGGCACCATCATATTGCTATAAAACTCCAATTTGTTTCTGCTCGTAGCAATGGTGCGACTACAGGCTCAGATGGGACCAACCACCTCGATCCACCTTATACAAGAACATCACCTCGCAGCTACGCCTGCCCTCCAAGAAGATCTGGCTCCCCGACGTCATCCTGGAGAACAAGTCAGAGTCATTCAAGCAAAAAAAAAAAAAAAAAATGCTCAAGCATATTCGGTCGCCATGTTAAAAGGTTTCGAAACATATGTGCAGTGTGGATGGACAATTCGAAGTGGCGCTGTATTGTAACGCGCTGGTGTCTCCTGACGGCTGCGTGTACTGGTTGCCCCCCGCCATCTACCGCAGCGCTTGTCCCATCACCGTCAACTATTTCCCCTTCGACTGGCAGAATTGCACCATGGTGTTCCGGTGAGCGGAGATCTGAATGATGATCGATGATGAGCATTTCGTCTTATCTTATCATGGTCTTATTTTTGTAATAGCACAAAAACTTGGCATGCGAACGCGGGGGCTGTCGACTTTTTACATCTACTGCACTGTTCACAGAAAAGTTTTTCGATACAATATCGGGATATTTAGCTGACCATAACGATGACTCAAATTGGTCTTCTGAAAGAAATCTACGTGATATGTTACAAAATCTAGAAAATCTGAAAAAGGGGAAATATTATAGAATGTATCCTTGCATATTGGAGAAATGAAACATTTGAATTAAAAAAAATATATACTCCGCAGCCTATCCCTGCTGACTTTGGCACTTTTAGACAACGATTCATACTCACAGTCACGCCTATGAACAATTTAGGGTTTTCAGTTCTCCGTGAAGGAGGAAAAAATAAAAAATAAATCTGCATTTACAATTCAACAGTGCAACCCAAAGTAAATATTTTAAATTTTGAACACTTCAACCCTTTCCAGGACTGCGGTTACTGCAGTGGACATCTTATCAGGTTACAGAGTGCATGAAAGGGTTAACGTCAGCGTGTGAACTTTTTTTTTTTGTCTGTTTCTGAGAAAGAAAGGACACACAAAGAAGGACCTTTTTGGAGGTTAGTCAAATATAAAAGGGTTCGGTTCCTCCTCAAGAAAAATCTATTCTAGACTTATGACTCCAGTGTTTCTAGAATCCTGGCTCCCAGGCTGCACGTTCCCACGTCAGCTTGTCTTTGTGCTGAAATAGAGCTCGCGGTGTCCAAACGGCAGACAAAAGTACCATTCAAGGTCGCTTTTCATGTTGCTGTCTTGTGAAAGGAAATAAATGTTTGTTTTTCATTGTGCCGGCAGACCCATATCTCTTGTCTTTGTGTGCAGCTCCCAGACCTACAGTGCCAATGAGATTGAACTCGTTCTGAAAAAGGAGGACAACGTAACTCTGGAGTGGGTTGATATTGACCCCGAGGCTTTCACGGGTATGACGCCTGACTGCACGGATCACAAATAGCACACAATATATGCACTTGTTTTTGCATATTTTCACGTTTGGGTTCCACATTCAATTGTTATTGCCGTGGCAACGTGGCCAGCAAAGCACATCTTGGTGGCTCCTCAGTCTTTAAATTTGTGGTAATCAACCAGGTCTATTTTTGTAAAGAGTCTCAAAAAAAAAAAAAAAAAAAGTGGCACGAGAAATTTAATCTCACAAAAGGTGTATTTGAAATCAAAGTTTGTCCCTTTGGACAATTCCCCCGGAATTACTGCAGGCACTTTCCAACCCTACTCTGCCACACTTTCGTGGATTCTTCTGGGATTCGCTGCAGCTTTGCCGTCACCGCCATCTTGATTATCCTCCACATCTTCAAAATGGGTCCCCTTGGATGAGCACCTTGAGTTTGAGATTGAAGGGAGTGGGAGCATGCCGATGTTATTCCCTGCCAGGAACTGTCAGATGCTCAGGGCCTTGTGAGCTGACACGTTGCTGCCACAATTCTTCCTTCCAACACAATTTCGTTTCAGTGTTGCGGCTTTAAAAACTTTGTTTTTAAGTTACCCTCCAAATTATTTTCGGGCCATTTGACTTCAACCATTCCACTAATTTTTTTTAATTTTTTTTCTTCACCAGAAAATGGAGAATGGGCCATCAAACACAGACCAGCAAAGAAGGTGATCAACAACCAGTTCACCAAAGATGACCCGGAATACCAGGAATTGGTCTTTTTCCTCATCATCCAGAGAAAGCCCCTCTTCTACATCATCAACATCATCGCTCCTTGCGTGCTCTTTTCCTCTCTCTGCCTGCTTGTTTACTACCTACCCGCCAAAGGTCTTTTTCTCCTCCTTTTCAAAACGTTAAGACTACAAAACGTGCAGGAAGTTTGTTGAAACACAAAATCTAATCAAGATTCTCTTCAGATCATCGCTCAGTTGACACAAGTTTAGGATTGTGTCTTTTGCAGCCGGGGGCCAGAAGTGCACCATGTCCATTGCTACTCTTCTGGGCCAGACTGTGTTCCTTTTGCTCATTGCCAGAAAGGTTCCAGAAACGTCCATGGCGGTTCCTCTTATCGGAAAGTAAGTCGTAAGAAATTTCCGTTGAGAGATTTTGTTTTTCCCCCTTTCATCGTCATGTTCATCTTCCACCGCAGGTATCTGATGTTTGTAATGTCCGTGACCACCATTGTAGTGATGAACTGCGTGATCGTTCTCAACATATCGCTGAGAACACCAAGCACTCACGTGATGTCAGACCAAGTCAGAAAGGTGGGGCCGTGCGTTGTTGCATCCGGATTTCACACCGTGGACGTGAACGGCTCCTGGAGGGCTTGATCCATACATATATTTTACATTTATATATATTAAATATTAGGGCGGCCCGGTGTTCCAGTGGTTAGCGTGTCGACCTCACAGTGTAGAGGTGCCGGGTTCGATTCCAGCTCTGGCCTCCCTGTGTGGAGTTTGCATGTTCTCCCCGGGCCCGCGTGGCTTTTCTCCGGGTACTCCGCTTTCCTCCCACATTCCAAAAACATGCATGGCAGGCTGATTGAACGCTCTAAATTGTCCCGTCGGTGTGAGTGTGAGCGCGGATGGTTGTTCGTCTCTGTGTGCCCTGCGATTGACTGGCGACCGGTTCAGGGTGTCCCCCGCCTACTGCCCGGAGACGGCCGGGATAGGCTCCAGCACCCAACGTGACCCTTGTGAGGATAAGGCGGAACAGAAAATGGATGGATGGATGGATATTAAATATTTTAAAATATCAAATAAATAAATGCTGGAGGGGCTGTACTAGGGCTTCATTGGCGGCAGTAAATTGGACTCTAACCCGAACAGGTTTAGTAACAGGGAAATGGATTTCTGTGCCTTGAAGTAAGTAGCAAATAAAGGATGGGGCCATTCATGGATCCAGATCACCATGTGCAGTCCTGTATCTCTGTCCCCTTCAGATCTTTCTTAACGTGCTGCCTCGGCTGTTGAGAATGCAAATGCAACCCTGGACACCCAATCGTGACGCCGCCGCTGAACCCGCTAAAGGTGACGCCGGAGTCGACGACAGAACAGAAATACATCTGGTCCCATGTCGGCGCCGCAGCTCCATGACGTTAATCAACAAGGCGGAGGAATATATACTGAAAACAGCTCGGACTGAACTCATGTTTGCCCGACTCCAAGACAGAAATGGACTGATGAAGTCAGTCTTTGAGACGTTGAGTAAGTATGTTGACGAGTTGGTTTCGACTTCCATCGGCGGACATATCCATTGATTACAGGTTTGCTTTGCTAGACAAAGGCCTGGAAGAGGGAACAGCCGAGCGACTTAGTCTAAGTTTGGCAAAAGCTGCCCCGGAACTCAAGCAGTGCATTGCTTCGTGTAAACACATCGCAGAGACGACAAGGCAACAGAGCAACTATCAAAACGTAAGTTGTCTTTTCACTCACAATGGTTTGCCCTGCAAAAAAAAAAAAAAAGAGGACTAAAGTTGAACACCCAACACTCATGCAGCTTTGCATTTATGGAAAAGAGGCGAGTGATTCTTGTTCCACTCAGGAGAATGAAGAGTGGATCCGCGTCGCCCGGGTCATCGACCGGGTCTGCTTCATTGTCATGGCTTTGCTCTTCTTCGTTGGCACCATCGCCATCTTCCTATTGGGTCACTTCAACCAGCCGCCGTCTTCTCCCTTCCTGGGGGATCCCAAGAAGTACCTTCCCACGAAAGAAAATCTCACGCTAGCCGATACCAGATCAAGGGAGGACCTGCTGGGTTGAAGCGGATCGCCTCATGTCCTTTCTTTCAAAGTTGAATTTGGTTGATTAATTGGTTGTTAGCTGTGCTAACACAGTCACGATGACAGCGATGTACTGGTACTAGTTTGTTGTAATCCAAGAACACCTTGTAATCTGTTAAGGACTGCACAGTGCCTTTGTAGGTCAAATTCAGAATGGCTGCCTTTTCTAAAAGTATTTATGCTACAAAGTGTCTCAAAAGTTTAATGGGCAGTGTACTCTCCAATGTTTTTTCACCGTGCAAGCGCACTTCTCAAACGCCTTCAATTTCACCAACGGTAGTGTCCATGAGCTTTTTGTAGCTGAAGGATTTTTATTATTTTGGATCTCCTACGACTGGTGGTGTAGGTGAGTCTCCATGATGCTCTTTGCTAACACTCAGTGCTAATGCTATATGACGGCTAGCTGCAGCCCAAAACTGTTCAATTCCAAATGTTGTCAAAGCGAAGTTTGTATTTGTTGATTGGGTACATGTTAGCTGGACTTGACACAAGAAAGTGGCAACAATAATAAAATAAATTGTTTGTGGAGTCTAGAAATTTACATCATTGGCTCTGCCTTGCTAGTGAATAATTTGGACATGAAACTCTTTGCTAAAATGTCAATAATAATAAACATAGAAAAAATATATATATTTTACTGTCTCTTGTCATTTCCAGCTAAACGACGCCTGTTTACCTTTGACACAAAATGTTGCTACCGTGCTATGTTACTATAGTTTATGTTTTACATGATGTTGGTTGATTTCATGTTACATTTATAAAACAGCAAACATGTTTAAAATGTTCCTTAAACATTTCCTGGACAGTTTTAATAAAATGTTTCATGATTATGACAGTTTGGAGCAAATTGTACTTCGTTTTTAAAAAAAAAAAATTTTTGTTTTCATGGTAATAATTTCTCATGCTACGTACACTGGCTAGCCCTGATCTGTACTTTACTCAAGGGAACCAAAGTGGTCCAAGCAGACATCAGTAGTGCCAGCTTCATTTTTGGTCTTCAACCTGCCAAGTTGGCGCCCCCAAGCCAAGTTCTAACAGCTAGTGCGGCAATGCCCCAGCGGGCAACAAACTCAGACTTAGTGACCCCCCCCCCCCAACCCTCCCAACCACACCTCTGAAAGCAGGACTTCAATTACATGGCTGAGTGGTGCTTTTAGGGCCCAACAAAAGGCAGATCCGGCTGGTTGGCATGGCAACAGAGGCGGGAGAGGAGATCTCTAGACACACAGTCACTAAGCCAAGCATTACTTTGTGAATATTCGCACACAGACGGACAAGAAGGTTGATGTTAAACCTGCTCTTTGACATCATGGACGCACAGAGCTAGTTTGGTTCGGCTCACACTTTACAATCAATGTCCTTTGCTCTTCTTCGTTGGCACCATCGCCATCTTCCTATTGGGTCACTTCAACCAGCCGCCGTCTTCTCCCTTCCTGGGGGATCCCAAGAAGTACCTTCCCACGAAAGAAAATCTCACGCTAGCCGATACCAGATCAAGGGAGGACCTGCTGGGTTGAAGCGGATCGCCTCATGTCCTTTCTTTCAAAGTTGAATTTGGTTGATTAATTGGTTGTTAGCTGTGCTAACACAGTCACGATGACAGCGATGTACTGGTACTAGTTTGTTGTAATCCAAGAACACCTTGTAATCTGTTAAGGACTGCACAGTGCCTTTGTAGGTCAAATTCAGAATGGCTGCCTTTTCTAAAAGTATTTATGCTACAAAGTGTCTCAAAAGTTTAATGGGCAGTGTACTCTCCAATGTTTTTTCACCGTGCAAGCGCACTTCTCAAACGCCTTCAATTTCACCAACGGTAGTGTCCATGAGCTTTTTGTAGCTGAAGGATTTTTATTATTTTGGATCTCCTACGACTGGTGGTGTAGGTGAGTCTCCATGATGCTCTTTGCTAACACTCAGTGCTAATGCTATATGACGGCTAGCTGCAGCCCAAAACTGTTCAATTCCAAATGTTGTCAAAGCGAAGTTTGTATTTGTTGATTGGGTACATGTTAGCTGGACTTGACACAAGAAAGTGGCAACAATAATAAAATAAATTGTTTGTGGAGTCTAGAAATTTACATCATTGGCTCTGCCTTGCTAGTGAATAATTTGGACATGAAACTCTTTGCTAAAATGTCAATAATAATAAACATAGAAAAAATATATATATTTTACTGTCTCTTGTCATTTCCAGCTAAACGACGCCTGTTTACCTTTGACACAAAATGTTGCTACCGTGCTATGTTACTATAGTTTATGTTTTACATGATGTTGGTTGATTTCATGTTACATTTATAAAACAGCAAACATGTTTAAAATGTTCCTTAAACATTTCCTGGACAGTTTTAATAAAATGTTTCATGATTATGACAGTTTGGAGCAAATTGTACTTCGTTTTTAAAAAAAAAAAATTTTTGTTTTCATGGTAATAATTTCTCATGCTACGTACACTGGCTAGCCCTGATCTGTACTTTACTCAAGGGAACCAAAGTGGTCCAAGCAGACATCAGTAGTGCCAGCTTCATTTTTGGTCTTCAACCTGCCAAGTTGGCGCCCCCAAGCCAAGTTCTAACAGCTAGTGCGGCAATGCCCCAGCGGGCAACAAACTCAGACTTAGTGACCCCCCCCCCCCCACACCTCTGAAAGCAGGACTTCAATTACATGGCTGAGTGGTGCTTTTAGGGCCCAACAAAAGGCAGATCCGGCTGGTTGGCATGGCAACAGAGGCGGGAGAGGAGATCTCTAGACACACAGTCACTAAGCCAAGCATTACTTTGTGAATATTCGCACACAGACGGACAAGAAGGTTGATGTTAAACCTGCTCTTTGACATCATGGACGCACAGAGCTAGTTTGGTTCGGCTCACACTTTACAATCAATGTCTGGACAAGGATGTGGGCTGACCAGTGAAGGTAAGGAAGGAACTTCCATAAACTTTTTTTTTTTTTTTTTTTTTTATTACACCACTTCAATTTTAATGATAATGCAGCAGCTTAATGTCGGGATCTAGAATTTACAATGCCATAAATATGATTAATGAGTGTTGTCAACAAACTGATCTAAGGCCTTCGTAAAACAATGACTGGAGATTAATTTGGCGTATTTTTGTAATTCTTTCGACTCACAATTGAGCAGGATTTTGGTCAGGATTTACCAGAGCTTTGATACATTTCGGCCACAGAGAGCAAGGAAATGATATGAAATGAAAAATGGGAAATGAATTTCCATTTCCATTATGGAAATGGAAGATTTGCATTTTATTATTTTATTTACATACAGTATATTTTTAACAAGACCCCAATTTCTTTATAGAGTACAAATTGACAGTCATGTTCCTGTGATACTACTATTACTACTACTACTACTACTACTAATAATAATAATAATAAAAATAAAAATAATAATAATAATACCAACAATTTGACAAAATTGCTATGTATCGCTTACAAGTCATTTTCTTGTGTTGAAATTCTACATTTTCCCAGCATTAATGATTTCCAACCATTTTGCCACTGGATATTATCCAGTTTCACTAAATTGTGACAGCAAGTATTTATTTACTAGATATAATATCTATTTGTTCATCTATCTATGCCAGCAATGTATAGTGACAGGCAATGCAATTTAAGTGCCTTCACACAAGATTGCAGAAAGTACAATTGACCTGTTGCCATTCATACAGACCTGTCGGCTTTTTGTGCAATCTAAACTGGGCCAGATTTCACAATGAGTAATTAAATTAGCTCCGTATCATTCTTGTGACATTTTTGCTTGGTGGTGTATCGTGAGATTCTTCCAGTTATCGCCACCATGTCCATCGTGACCAATCAACCTCTTCCCTATGGCCGACTGGAACGAGAGAATCACATTCGCATGATATTCCGAGCCTTCCAAAACAAATGCGGTCCCGTGTGTGAGTGCCACTCTCACCCACCCGCATGCAAATCTCTCCAAATGTCCGGTAAGCCCGTTCCGGGTCTGCTGAGGAGCGAGGACGGTGCGGGAGGGTCATCCAACTCTTTGAGTGTGCTGGATGAAGTCACTCAGTTTCATGTCACTGCAAGGCCACAACTTCAGGGTGAGCGGCGTCCTCTTTGGGCTAGCGGAATCTTTGTAGATGAGATGATCTCAAGTGAAGGGCTTCTGATTGTAGGTCCACAGTGTGTTCCACAGAGGATCTACAGCATTGCCACGGGAGCCAGCAGGTCGCAACTGTTTGTGGTGGTGGAAGGTACCGTCGTGCGTCTGAAGTTCTGAACTACACAATCGTTCAAAAGTTGGGGGTCACAGAAAAAAAAATTTTTCTTTTTTTTTTTTTTTTTTAAGAAAAGCACAAGCATAGACAGTGTGTTTGTAAAAACAAGATGGCTCCAAATAAAACAACAATAATCATAAGGCACTAACATCATGCATCTTGGATGTACACCAGGGGTGCCCAATACGGCGATCGCGATTATAGCAGGTTGGTTGATCGAAAAGTCGATCTTCGGTCAAAAAAGGTTGGGCGCCCCTGATGTACACAATCATGAACCCATGTGACGCACATTGAGTTTTGTCACTTAATGACATGCTATCCTAAACTGATGTGACATCACCCTTGGGCAGACAAATATGCGAGGCAGCACTTCACACAAATGGGATGAAGTCTTTCTACTTACCTTTTGGCATTGACATGTACCTCTCCAAACTGGTCACTAGTGTATCCCCGTGTGCTTTTTCAGCTCAGCGCATCTCCTTCCTGTTTCCTTCCTTGCTTTCAGAGAGTTCATGCGTGTGCCTTCAATGTTGTGGTCCAGCTCGGTCTTGCTCCTTGCAGGGCTTCGACCAACAAGGCCACCAGGTTTTCTACTTCGACAGACCTCTCAGGATGGACGCCTGCTGCCTCGGCTGCTGCCTGATGGAAATGAGCGCATACACGGGCCAGAAGCAGCTCATCGGCACCGTGTACCAAAGGTAGGCCACACCGGAGCTACTCCAGCGGTGTCTTGTTTTATGAGATTGATTTGTGACTTAAAACACATGTACAGTATCTCAAGTTATCTTTTGCACTGAAATGAATGGAGATGCCATTAATCTGCTCCAGGAAGTAGCGTTTTGAACTAGGGTTAGGGTTTCAAAGTAGGAGTAAGAATAGCAACTCTAATGGGATTTTTGCCACCCCGATACGTGCGGACTTTATCTTTCAAGATATTGTTCATCACATGCAGGAACGAAGCTTTTAAGCCTTTTGCGATCATTCTGAGACACTTATGTCAACTTTCCCAGACGGCACGTGTCATGTGAGCCTTTTTCCATGTCAGTGCCAGAGCAGGAAATAGCACAGGGAGCATCACAGCTTCGCGAGGTCTAAACCAGTACTACGCAGCTGTTTGCCTGAAGTCACAGATGACAGCACTGAAGCAGGCAGGGAAGGAGTGCGGCATTATTCCGAATGGGAAAATTCACCAAATGAAAGCTGGCAACACCAAAATAATTCATCAAGCCTAAATCAGACTTTTAGTCCAGGCAAAGCCGACCGATTTCTCTCCAGGACTCTGAAGAAAAATTTTATTTTGTGGAAATTCTGTGGAAATAAATGTTTGAAAAGAAATGGTCGAAAAGCAAATCCTTGCATCTCCAGTTTTCAGGAAGAAAAAAAAGTTTTTGAATTCAAAAAGAGCAAGCTTTTTTCAACGCTTAATATTGGAACAGAGGCATATTATTGGTCAGTCGATTTGTGAAAAAAATATTAATTCCACCAAATTTGAAAGGCGGTTTCCATCCAACAGCAACAAAATGTGTAATAAACCGGGACACACAATCGAGTTTGCAAAACTAATTTGTAGTGCAAGAACAGCAATAAAGTGAAAAAAAAAATAAAAATACAAAATCACTCAGATAGGTAAAATAACAAAAAATGTACAAAAAAGACCATTAAATAAAATAACCAATAAAATTGCAAACAAATAGGTTGATAAGCATTTAAAGAAGTAGGGGAACCTGAAACAAGGTAACAAAAATCGCTTAAGAACAAATTTATTTATTTATTTTTTTTGCTCTTTTCTTCCTCAATACTTCGGGCTCTGTTGACTTTTAATTGCTCTTGGGAGCCCCCTATTGGTCACGGGGCTCTAAGCAAGTGCTGGCGCATGACATTTGCTAGCTGTTCGGCCTTCCAGCCTTTGGATGTCCCTTTTCGAGTTTTCCAGAAGCAATGCCGGATGTCTAATTAAGACAGAGCTGGCGTAGGCTTGGATGATCTACTTGGTATAAATATTCCCTCCGTTGTGCCACAATAAAGCCTGTCCCAGTTTGAACTCCCGTGACAGCGAGCAAACAACGCTTTTGGTGCTGCGGAATCATGACAGCTGAAAATGGGAGCAACCAAGCATCAAGGTCGGCTTCGCCGTTGCCAGGTTGCTCGCTGCAGGAGATATTCCATGTTCTCGTGGTGAGGGGCCATGACGAGAAAGGCCTTCCTCCGCTGGCCTAAACGGCATCAGAAGCACTGACCTACATGTCCGAGCTCGATTGTAAAATCTATTTCATGATATTGTATTCATTTATACCCAACCGTCTACTCTCGTCATGTAGCATTTCTCTTGGTTTGCGCTGCTGCCAGTTTGGAAGGATGTTGACGTCCAATCAGATTTGAGCCTTTTGTGTGTTGCCATGTCAATCCAAACTGTTGACGACAGAGCGAGTCGTGCTGGTGCATGCAAGTTAAATTATACAAGGAATGGAACTGTTTCTTAACCAATCACATTTCAAATTGGCCCCACGTGGCCAGCCAGCTGGCCCAGGAAAACAATATTTGTATTACTTGATATGAAATACTCATATGGATAACTTTTAGGTTGTCACAAGACACAACAGTTGCCACAAATCCTTCTCACGGCCGACAACATCACATAATGATGCAAATAGTAAGGAAATAAGTGTATCTCCATATATCAAGATCAAATTTCTATTTGTCTTTTTTTTATGTTGTAATTTTTTTAACGTACATGCTTTGACAAATGAAGGAATACAGCATGTACAAATGTCTGTTTACAAATGTAGGAAGTAAAAGAAAAAAAAAGTCATCCGAAAAATACGCACCCATTAAGTATAGAGAGAAAAATTGACTTCAGCACAGTAACAAAGTAGATTGACCTTGTTATTATGTTACTAGATAAATATTGATTGTGAACTGCTCCAGTCTCCAGATGATCTAAGTGGCAGTTACATGCTGTTATATTATGCGTCTGTGTGTGTGTGTGTGTGTGTGTGTGTGTGTGTGTGTGTGTGTGTGTGTGTGTGTGTGTGTGTGTGTGTGTGTGTGTGTTTGTTGCAAGGTGGAGCATGTTCACGCCTTTCTTTGAAGTCAAAGACTCCCAGGGAACGGCTGCAGTCCAAATTCAGGGCCCCTGCTGCCCAATTCGCTGCTTGTCAAATCAGCAATTCCAGGTAACACTCACCTATTAGAATGTACATTTATGCCACCATTTTTTTCATATTTTTATTTTATTTTTTTAAAAACTAGATTGTCTCCAATATCGGTGAGAATGTCGGTACCATATGGAAGAAATGGCCTGGCTTTCACCAAGATCATAACATGGACCATGAATATTTTGGGATGGAAGGTGAGTTTGTAGAGAATGGAGATGTTTGTGTTCCTATGAATGCACACACGCGTTTTTTAAAATCAATCACATTTGCATTGATTGAAATATTTCAGTGCCACCTGGCATGGATTCACAAACCAAACTGTTGCTCCTCGCAGCCACATTCTTACTGGTAAGTATGCTTTAGAAGTTGGGGGCGGGGGTGGGGGGGGGGTGGAAAGTAGAATCCGCATAAGCTCTCAACATTTGGCTCCGTTTCCAGCATTAACTGTCAATTAATTGATTCATTGCATAGGAAAAATCTTCCAAATTTGCTTCGTCGTTTTTTTCGGGTTAATACGCCTTATTATACATGGTCGTTTTTTTGGGCAAAAAACGCCTTACTATACATGGTCGTTTTTTTCGGCGAAAAACGCCTGACTATACATGGTCGTTTTTTTCGGCAAAAACGCCTTACTATACATGGTCGTTTTTTTCATTAAAAAACGCCTTACTATACATGGTCATTTTTTTCGGGTAAAAACGCCTTACGATACATGGTCATTTTTTTTCGGCTAAAAACGCCTTACAAT